AAGAAAACAGTTACAAACTGAAACAGGAAGTGCTTCTGGACCAGTGTTGTTTACATCTTGTGAAATGGTCTATACAATATTCAGAATTTAAATGACTTTCTGAGAACAATTTTATCTTGTAAATGCATTAAAAAAAAACTGAATGCAATTTTATTCTCCAAAAGACTCCTAAACAAGTATAATTTCCAACTATAATTGCCAATTTTTTAAATATTTTTTACGCAAATCAAAATTAACATTTAATAAATTCTTTCTGGTGCAAGTAAAAAAAAATATATAACTAAAAACAATTTGATAAAAAGCGATTTCTTTGGAACAATAATCGACACCAGCAGTGACAGAAATCTACCATACCTCATCTGATTGTTCCGCAGCAAGCATCACGTGAATAACCCGCGGATCGACCACTTGTGTCTCCTCACCCTGCGTTGATAAACCATGATTGACACATTAAGCCAACACACTAAAATCAGCTTTGGTTACGGCATTAGTTTCTAAACAGACTTGCACACGTACCTGGTCCATGGTAATCTCCATAATGTGTGAAACAGGATCATGCTGAGATACGAGGCCCAGGGCCCAGGGCTCCCCAAACTCCGGCTGGTACACCTGTACTCTCCGACCCTGAATAGTAATAAGATCCTGTACAAGACAGAAAAAAATAAAGCTTATACTATCAGCTTAAAACGATAGTTAACCCTAAAATACAAATGCCGTCATAATTTACGGACTCTCATGTTGTTTTGTTCCTCTTTAAAACACAAATGGAGATATTTCTAAAAAAAAAAAAAAAAAAAAAAATCTGAGAGATTTTATTCCCTCCACTGAAAATTCCATTCACCCAAAACTCATTCAGAAAGAGATCATAAAATACGCATCAAGTGGTTTAGTCCAAAGTCTTTTAAAGAAACACAATCACTTTATAGGATGAACAGACTGAATTTAGGCTTTTATTGACATATCAACATGTGTTAGCAAACTATGTTTACAGCATTTCATTTTGGTAAGCGGAAGCTCAAGCATGGGTTGATGGATGAGCAAGAACCAAGTACATTTATGTTCGCTGATCAATGTTTTTATGTGAATAAAAGCCAACATTCAATCTGTTCATCATATAAATAGAAGACTTATTACTTACTGAATTGCTTGATACATATGGATTTATTTTACAATCTCTTTATGAATGTTTTGACGTGTCAAAGACTTGTGTTTCGAAGATGAACGGGAGGATTAAATGACAGAATTATTATTTTGGGCTAAACTAACCCTTTATATATCGCATGACATGACTTCATTTCAGGCTTTGCACAGGTAAGTTTACTCAAGCACATCTATTCTACAGAGTTCGTTTATTTATAGGTAAACGCAACTGACCTTTGCGCAGGATCTCCTGTAGCTCAGAGTCCCGGTGCCAACTGCTGATGGCAGCTTGAAGCGCTGGCTGCTCTAGTAGCAGAGAGTGTATCATATCTTTTTCAGTCTGAAGAAAGAAAGAAAGATAATCCATTTGATCCAGGTCCATTTAAACTTTTTAAGAGCAAAAGTTCTGCATTAGTTGGTCACCAACCTCAAATGTGTGCAGTGAATTCCCATTAGGGAAAAACGACAAAGTTCTTGGTCCAAAGAACTCGACAGGAACCACGGATCCCAAACCCACTCGGTCAACCAGCGGTTTGAACAACTGAAGATAGAGGCAAAAGACAACCAGTGGGTTCGGGAAACCAGTACGGTTGAATAAAAATCATATCTTCACATCTAAATGCTTTTTCTAATCAAATTATAACTAAAACAAAATAAATAACCTGTATGAAGGTCAAAATGAAAACAAAATTGACAATTCTTTATTTTTTTTAAAGGGAATATTGCAGTATTTATTATAAATTATTTATCCATGCACATTATTATGCGTTTTAAATGAATCTGTCCTCATAATATTTGATCAGAATAACTTGCAGTGGCATCTCTTCCAGGGCTCCAGACTATCTTTTCCACTGGTTGAACTGGTGCTACCAACTTTCTCAGTTGGTCGCACCAGCATTTGATTTGGTCGGACATTTTTTTTTATTTATTTTTTTGCTACATGCCATGGGATTGAATAGTGGTTTTAATGGACCAAAGCTAGCAAAGCCTTTCTAGGTTGCAGCATAAACACCTGTAATATATTAATTATCATTGCCAAATTTCAGGATTTTGGACAGTAATTTTAATGTGTAATTTTAAGCATTTTACATTTGAATTATATACAATCTATTTACATTTGAATCATAATCTATCTATCTATCTATCAGCATCATCTATCTATCTTTTAAAAATCATTAAACATTCAAATGCATGCATTACATTTTAAAAGATTAGAGTATTATAATAAGCTAATACAGATTTTTCTTTATCAAAGTTTATAGTTGTAACAAAAATAAGAAATCTCACTCCTTCCCTTCTGCATTTTATAATAATTTCCTTTTCCTCAGTCGAGCGATTGCTCTCATCTAACCGCTGAAAAGACATAGGAAGGGGCACGCTGCTTCATTTTTATATGCCTTAATTCGTGAATTCGTAATTGGCACGTTCCACCATCAATGTGCACTGCGCGTGACGTCTACGTTCATCAGTAAATTAACTGCACGTGTCTTGCGGAAGAACACTGTAGCCGGAGCTGCTTCTCTCCCTTAATGTCTATGGCACTGGGCAACTCCGCATCCGAGTCGACCCGGGATAAAATAGTCCGAATATAAACACTTATTATAGGCATACCGTAGTGATTCAGGATAAGTCAAAAACACGGTTCAGAAAATGGATTAATGATGTAGCCTACTCGTTCATTTTGAACATAAGTCACGGACTGAAACAGCTGATACAACGACGTTCTGTTGCGCACAAATGCGACCACATAAAATTTTAACTCGCACATTCTCAGTCTGGAACCCTCGTCTCTTCTCTTCTCTGATGATGTGTTAACTGGCGTGAGGGCGGGACAACCCATCACTCTCATCAGATCCACCAATAGCAAACCACAACAATCCAATCAATTCCCCATAGACAAAATCAAGCCCCGTGCTTCATATGTTCTTGCTCGAGAAGCCGTTTCACTCGGATATATGTTTCATAGCGCAACTTATGTTTCATGTCAACTATGGCCAATTATGGGAAGATTACCAAGATCCCAGTGTGCATCTGTACTCACCAAGGCTGGCCATTGAGTAGCAGCCGCTACTAGAGCCGGGGGAAGGGAGAGGGAAGGGTCACTGCAGTTGACCCAGACAATGGCACTCTCCACGAGAACCGCACGCACCTCGTCCCCGTACATCTGCACCCATGAGCGCTGCCGGCAAGGGCTCTTCTCAAACTCCACGAACACCTGCAATGAAGATGGGAGGTTGGCATCTTTGCAGAACACAGAAGTAAAATGCTGCACTCTACAAGAACACTTGAAAGTTTCAACATGAACTCAACCTGAATGGAAATCTGTTGGAAATGGATATTGTGTTAATTACATTCCAAACTCCCAAAATGTTTTGTCCTATGTACCACAACAGCCCCACCGTAAGGCTCAGTTACCCCTGTATAAGCACCAAACAAGAGAAATGCTCATATTTCAGCATTGTTAATATGATTAAAATGGCTATTATTAAAATATGGTGAGTGAAAAAGACTCACAAAGTAGTTTCCTGTCTAAAATGAACCGTTTTAATGAGTGAGCCACTGAGTCATTCATTAAAATGGCCAATTTATTCAAGAATAAGGCAGTTGTTTACGAAGGGGTCATTAAATCGTTAACTCAACCGATTCGTTTAAAATGTGAATCATTCAGTAATGAATGTAGCTACTAGTTTAACTCTATCATATGTTATTAATATAAAAATGTCACATTTTGGATTTTTATCGCAATATGTTAACCGAGTTTCATTGTATAAATCAGCTGGAGAATCTGTTATTATAGAACAGCATGTAGAAGTTTAAAGGGACAAAAAAGGTAACATCAGCTCGTCTTCCGGATTCCTGTAAATAACCGATCACTAACTGACGTAAAAATGAAGAGGATTAAATCAAACCAGTGCAAAAGTGTCTCGACCATGCATTTCATTCTGTACTAGTACTCCACAAACTAAATGAATCTAATGCAATTTAATCCAAGACCAATGACTGACAAAAAAAAAACATCTTATTTTAAATAAAGTTTGTCTGTGCGAATATAAATAGCTCAGACTTCCCAAGTATTTATCCATTTATTCTAAATAGAAATAAAAGCTCACTCTACTTACTACTACAAAGGCAATATGACATAAACAATGGCCCTTCCCTTTGTATTCATTGTGAGTAAATTATGTTTAATCGATATGACGTATGCATTTATCGTGCTGAATGTATTTTAAATCACAATGGGCCAAGTAATGTAGTAAACTACCTAACCAGACAGTATCAATGACTCCCAAAAACAGGCGACTGGCTCACTAGGATTTAAGCCAACCCTTATATGCAGCTAGCTACTTAGCTAACTAGCACTCCATCACACACTTAAAGTCTATCTGCATATCTCTCCCTTAATTCAGAATTGGACGCAACCTAAAGTCAGGTCACATTGTGTTGCACTGTTAAACTGTCGAATGCACCAGTGTTGATTCGCATGGGCAGGTTTTGTTTGATGTTTTGACGGTGTGTTGTTGTTGTTGTTGTGTCGGTCTCACCTCCACCCCCGGGCTCTCCAGCCCGATCACACTGACCGCCCGCACGGTACCGCGGAGCCAGGCCGCCGGATCCGTCCCAACGCCCGCGGCAGACGCGGAGCTCCCGTCATTGAGCAGCAGAAGCAGCCGCTTCCCGATCAAACCAAGCGAGTCCCCCATATCACAACCACCATGAAGAGATCGACTTCCTTCGGAGCTCCGCAAAAATCCGCGATCTTTCGTGCCTCAACTGAACTCGTCAATTATTAAAGCCACATATGACTGACTGCAGCCTGTGCGCGCGGGATTTGCATCGGCAAGCTGAGAGGACTGATAACGAGCTTTACTGGGAAAGTAAGGTGTTATTGTTCGAGCTTCAGCCCCTTGTCCTCATCCGCCATTTAGAAGTGCAGTGATCAAACGCACCCCTCGTACTGCTGCGGGACTGCGCTTCACGGGCTACCCGAGAAATAAAGCAGCGCCCCCTGCTGGACACTGTACGCGCCGTACGCAGTGAACGCGCATCTCTGGAGGTCTGTATGGGAGGGTCATGGCAAACTCTCGCGAGAATTCAGCTGCGTTTATTTGGATTTGGACTTGAAGTCGCACAGCAACGAAAGGAAGCTTCCGCGACTTAACAGGAATTGATTCTTTCCCCAATTATTTTTTTTTTTATTGTAAAAATTATTTGATCTCTTTTAATGTTGGATCCAATCCTCCATGCAAATCAAAAAAGCTTAAAAATCACTATAGACGACCTACATTAGATTTTTGCAACGAATGAATCATTTCCCAAAGAACCTTTCAGTGATCTGTTCTTTAAAAGATCCTCTTTTTTTCTTGGTGTAAAAAACATTTTATAGTGGAACCTTTTTCCACTATAGAGAATCTTTTGTGAAATGAAAAAGTTCCATTGATGTTAAGGGTTCTTCATGGTACCAGAATACCAATAAAGAACCTTTATTTTTAAGAGTGTATCATGTAGTCTACACAGCATCTGGAGTCTCTGGACCTTAAAGTTAAATGTCATTTCTTACACATTTTTAATGAATAATTTCTAATTATTCATCAATGTTCTCCTGTTTGGTCCTTGAGGCATTTCTTTTATCTCAGTGACAAATGTCTAATTATTGTACATTGTTGAAAAACTAAAAAAAAAATAGTCATAGACAATTATTGAGTGTCATAAGTTATATTTTTACATAACAGCTGTTTTTTGAGATGTGGTGGAAATGACATTTGTTTATTGCAGATCGGGAAAAAATGTTAACAATTTCTGTTGTAATATGTAATAATTCTCTTGTAATAATAAACCTTAAAGGGTTATTTCACCCAAAAAGTCATTAATTACTCACCTACATTCTGTACCAACCCCGTAAGACCTTCGTTCGTCTTCGGAACGCAAATAAAGATATTTTTGATTAAATTTGAGAGGTGGATCACTCCTCATAGGCTTCCTAAGGGAATGACACTTGACGGCCCAGAAAGTCAATGAAGAAAATGTTCATATATTCCATGTGACAACAGTGGCTCAACTATAAGTTTATCAAGCGACGAGTATACTTTTTGAGCGGAAAAATATACAAAAATAACGACTTTATTCGACTACTCCATTTCTTCCTTGCAGTTACATCAAGTAATCTGATTACGTAATGAATGTTACTTGTCAAGGAGTTGAACTAGGATTTAAGGCGATTCTAATGTCTCCATGCCTTCATTTTGGTGTGTCGATTAGAAAACAGGAGTGGATCAGGGCAGTCAGATTTAATTAATACTGAAGATGTTTATGAAGAGGTACATGAGTGGGAGGATGAAAATTTGGGATTGAGGGGATTTGGATTGAGAGTTGAGGAGCAGGGAATGAATGACTTAGAGATCTTATATCACTGTTTAATATCACCCTAACTTTATGTATATTTGGTGACCATACACTCTTTATCTTGGATATGGCTGTGAAACATAGTCCGGTCGGGATACCAAATGTCTTGGAACCAGGGGCGGGTTTACCATTTTGAGGCCCCCAAGCAAAGTCAGGATCTCAGACCCCCCACACCCCACCAAAATCATGTAACATTTTACTCTGAATTGTACAACAGTAATATTGAATTTAGTGAGACAGTGCTCCTGAAGTATGGGATCTGGGGTCCTTTGCTAAGGGTTATTCGGTCCCTCTAAGCAGGAGCTTGGTTCGCATTGCCAACAGTAAGTCAGACTTGTTCCCGTTACATGTTGTACTCCAGCAGGGCTACTCTTTGTCACCGGTTCTGTTCATATATTTTTATGGACAGAATTTCTAGGCACAGCCAGGTCACTGATGGTATCAGGTTTTGGGACCACACGATTTCGTCTCTGCTTTTTGCGGATGATGTTGGCCTTATCGGGCCAGGTCCTTCAGCATGCACTGGGATGGTTAACTGAGTATGAAGCAACTTGGATGAGAATCAGCAACTCAAAGTCTGAGCCCATGGTTTTCAGTCGGAAAAGGGTGGTTTGCCCGCTTCAGGTTGGTGGAGAGTTCTTGTCTCAAGTAGCAACGCAGAGGAGTTCAAGTATCTTGGGGTCTTGTTTATGAGTGAGGGAGGGATGGAACGGGGAGATTTACAGACGGATCGGTGCAGCTTCTACAGTAACACGGTCGATGTACTGGTCTGTCGTGGTGAAGAAAGAGCTGAGCTGCAAGTGCAAGACGAAGCTCTCGATTTACATGGGGTCATGACCAAAAGGACAAGATCTCGGATATAGGCGGCCGAAATTAGCTTTCTCTGCTGGGTGACTGGGCACTTACTTAGAGATAGGCAACGCATTCTCACCCCAAGGCGTCACCTTTGACCAGGCTTCAATATTTGACGCTTTAGGTGCCCTTTAAGGCCAATTTATACTTCTGCGTAGGGTGCGCGCAGTAGGTACGGCGTAGCATACGCACAGACGCGTCCCATACCGCGTACCCTTCGCCGTCGCCTGACGCGCACCTCCTCAAAAATGTAACTACACGTCGCGACGACGCGGACCGCAAGATCGGTGATTGGTTGGCTTGGTAGCATCGCATTTCCTCCTACGCATTTCCGCACGTACCTTCCTCCGAAGTCTTCTCTCATTTCTGCCTTTCAGTTTTAGTAATTTCACTAAAGTGAACTGTTTTTCCACCTTAATAAGCTCCAATTCCAACATGATCAGCTCTCTTTCACTCGTAGTAACCTAGCCGCGAGGAATCTAAACACAGTGGAACATTAAAACTCTCCGCCGCCAACTAGCGTTTCGGAGCAGTACTGCAGAGCAACCAAGACCTGAACGCAGAAGTATAAATGCTCACAACGGCACACTACGGCGTACCCTCGACGCAGAAGTATAAATTGGCCTTAAGCGTCACTTACATGACGCAATCCTACGGCGTCATCTTGCTGACGCTAAAGGAAAAGCGTCAGTTGGATGACGCAGATAGGTTTAGGTCTGGGGTAGGGGTAGGGTTACACGCGATCCTAGGGTGTCATGTCATCTACCTCACGCTAAAGGGCGCCTAAAGCGTCAGATATTGAAGCATGGTCAAAATGCTTCCCAAGGCGTCAGTTAGGTGACGGGTGAGGAGCTCGATCACTTGGGAGGAGCTCAGAGTAGAGCCGCTGCTCCTCCACATCGAGAGGAGACAGCTAAGGTGGCTCGAGCAGGTGTTCCGGATGACTCTTTTAGACGCCTTCCTGGGGAGGTGTTCCGGGCGTGTCCCACTGGGGGCAGACCCCAGGGAAGACCTAGGAGAAGGAAGTCTGGGCATCTATGTTTAGACTGCTGCCCCAGATAAGTGGAAGAAGATGTATATGAATGGATGGATTATGATATTATTTTTATTTCTAAATTATATTACTTTAATATTAATTGATTTAATTTGTGTCTATTTTCATTGTAACCATTCATCAGAAAATCAGTTTTATACATCAATCTCAGCAGTACACTAAACACAGGTGGTTGTGTTTAATGACTTTTGTGAATTGAGTTTAGTGAGTGTGAGTTTATTTTTTTTCTAAAAAATATCTCTACTGTTTTTATACGTTCACGTTAATTCAGTACCATTTCACACATTTTTAAAAAAATATTTAAAAAGTTCTCATCACACATTAAAATGTATCCACAATTTATGAGATCATGCTCTTCTATAGAAATTCAAGTTATTTATTTTCGAATAAGCTCTTGCCCAAACCAATATTACATTGTGACAGGTGTACAGTTCAGAATTTGATACATGAGCTATATAACCAACATAAACCAAATTTTGCAGATCGTACATTTATATATTGCCTGTTCCCCCATATGCGGCAGACAATACAAAACTCACACTTTTCTGAAAAACAAAACAACACCTTTAATTGTAGGCTATTATTAAGCCGGTGCTGATTGTGAGAGATATGAGTTTCCCTAGTCTCAGCTGCTGCCTATTTATTCTTATTCTCCCTTGTCAATCTTCTCATCCCACCTGTTCATGACTTCCAGGATTCATCATCCCAAGAGACAACAGATGGTGAGGGCATGCTATGATGTGAAGAGAGTCTCAGATCACCAACAACAGAGCACCCTTCTGTTTCTCACACATTAATGTTTGTGAACATTCTATAACATTCTGCATTGAATTAACTGAATTTCTTCCAATCACAATTATAAAATTCACGATAACGGGGCTCCAACATCTAGTTTAATTCACAAGTTCCTGTAACTGTGACACAGTAAAATCGGTTGTATCCACTAGATGGTGACATTTCAAAACACAAACAAGTTCAGCTTCGCTCGAAAGATGGGTGGCTTTCAGAAAGCGGTTAACATTAACAGGATAATATGGTAACGCTTCCTTTTACAGTCCAGTTACCCATGTAAATAGCCTAATATGTACTTATTTTAGTAACTACAATTACTGGGTACTAGTACTAACCCTGAACCTACCCCTAAACCTATCCTGTTCCATCTACTTTCTAGGTAAGTACACTGTAAGTAAGTAGCCTACTACTGTAAAAGGAAGCGTTACCGATAATATTAAGACATTATTAGCCTATTTCCAAAAAAAAAAAAAAGTTAATAACAATAATAAATACGAAATCTTAGATCCACCCATTAACCAAATAATTTCATGAACACATCGACCATCAACTGTAATCGTAGTATGTCTTGCTTTTCAACGAGTTTATGTTATCTAGCCTACAGCAGCTGATTGTTTATAAATGTGTCCTGTGAAATAGCCCTAACCCTTTTGTATAACGTTTTATTTTATTTTTTGCTATGTAGGGCCTATTCAGTCAGTATACAGGCAAAACCGGTTTCTAGTAATATTAACATTACATCAGTTAATATGGTTTAACATGACTTATTAACTTCAGCGCCGTTAAATTAAACATTGCTACCGTTTGTTTACGGTAATGTGCTTGACAACCACAGCTGGTGTTTGTTTTTGTACTGTACATTTTACAGGTTTATTTTCTACAGTGTGAGAACCTGAAAAAAAATATTCCCAGGTCTGTATTTACTTAAGACATGGGTTATTGTGGAAACTTGTCACAGGGGTTTTCTGTTCCCCAGCGCTAATAGGCCTATATTGAAGGAATTATGGTTGCACAGTAGGCTATTGAATCATAAAAAACAAAATAGATTATGTTCGAAGTTTATAGGTTGATTGGGCCCCGGGGAAATAAGTCCTTGCCCGTTTGAGGACTTTAATTACTACTAATATATTATTAAGGAAGATTATTGTAAAATGCTACCACAAAAAAAAAAAAAAAAAAAAAAAAAAAATCAAACAGGAGGAGATGATGTGAGAGAGAATTTCATTGTTTATTATTAGAAGAAACATAAAATACAACATATACACTACTGGTCAAAAATCTGAAATGATTCAATGATTTTACTGCTTAAAATTTGAGGAAACGGTGATAACTTTCTAAAAAATTGTGGCAAGTATAGGATCCATATTGTTGATCATAGGTTACAATAAAGACATGTCTAATGACACATAAAAATAATAATTTCAAATAAATGCTGTCATTTTGTACTTTCTATTCATCAATTGATCAAAAATGTGAAGCAGCACAGCTGTTTTCAACATTAATAATAAGAAGAAATGATTCTTGAGCAGCAAATCATCATCATGATTCTGAAGGATCATGTGACACTGAAGACTAGAGTAATGATGCTGAAAATTCAGCTAATACATACAAATATATTACAATAGAGAACAGTTATTTTACATTTTTATAATATTTCACAATAATACTGTTTTTACTGGCAAAATAAATGCAGCCTTGGTAAGAGACTTCTTTCAAAAACATTTAAAACATCTTCATGATTCCAAACTTTTGACCGGTAGTGCAAACAACTTTGAAACGGTCCCTTATTTGATAAATGACACATGACAGTTTGTTTTTGTGTGATTCCTCACAAGATAATATTGTAAACTGCATTTGGAGCATCATTAGGCCTGTATGAGACAGGAGCAGAGGTGTCTTCAAGTGTTATTTCACTACTATTGAACTACCAGTTCCACAGCATACTAAAACTGCACCATCTGTCAAATCACTCGAAACACAACTAGGCTACTTCAAAAAGGTTGCTACTGTTGTGAGGTCGAGAGGAAGGCTTATGTTAATTCATGTAGTTATGTTCAAATCAGTGGTCGGGAAACTCCAAGTCGTCTATTCCACAAATCTATATTGGCAAAATAATGTGCGATTATGCAAAGATACACTGAGAATACTGCGAGTACAGCACCCGTAATCAAAGTCTCTATTAACAGAATACGAGCCGTTCTTTTCCAGTGAGGAGAGGAGCCAATGCAGCTCACAGGACGTCCCAGCCAGGCGGCTCTCCCGTGACTAGGCATTGGCATGAGGTTAAACTCGGCTCTCCGTTTGGACAGCGTCGAAGTGTCTATGCCAGCGGCGTGACCGGCATCACTGATACGCGAGGCAGTTGTGCGGCGTGCACTCCTCTTGTTCTTCCAGCTCGGGACACGGCGTGCCACTGTTGGCGGGTTTCAGCAGGATATATCGGGTGCGATGGCGCAGTCCGCCCCGAGAGCACGGCCCCAGACACAGGCCCCAGGACGACCACATCGACACCTCGCAGTCCAGCGGCGTTTCTGAAACACATGCAGGAATCATGAGGATCGCCAGTATGGAAGCAATCCGTCAGGAGGAGATTATGTTTCTGTGGCTGTTTATGCATGAAAAAGAAGGAGCGCTGGCGTAATCTAGGGCAGGACGGCTCACATATCCCAAACAATTGAAGAAATGTGTATTATAGAGTAGGTTTATGAAGTCCCGATAGCAACATGCAATAGAAAATTGTAATACTAACCTAGGGTGAACATATTTTGATTAGCGAAAACCAGGACACTCGGCCCGGCAAACATGATAGTCAAATGATACTCGAAGTTTCCTCAAAGATGCCTTATTAATTTCAATACATTTAAAGTAGGCTATGTCTCCTCTGTATGGATAGAAAATTGTTATATTACAAGACAAATTCAGATTCAGGCTTCTTAGAGGTTACTCAACATGTTTTATTATGACAGGTTTCAAAAATAATGAATGAAATGATAGAAATAATGTCTCTTTTGTATTAGAAAACTAAATATTTAAGTAATAAGTAGGGCCTAACTAAAAGAAATACCTCCAAATTGAACAAAAATAGCTCTCGCAAACTTACAAAAACATATTTATATCTTTAGTTTTCTTCCTCTTTAGCCTATCCTGTTATTCTTCCTCATCCTCCTTGTTTGACATCCGTTTTTTGCTGTAGAGCTGATTTTAGTTTTTTGGAAACCAGGACATTTTCATCATTTTATAAAAAAAAAAACAGCCAGGACAGGACGTGAAAACAGGACATGTCCTGGGAAAACAGGACTTTATACTAACCCCCAGTTTTACAGACAAGGTTTAAGCCTATAGTCGCAGACTAAAACACATGTTTGGGCTGTTTTAAGTCAAAGCAACTTACACATATCTTATAATATATATTAGTTCCATTGTTTTGTCTCAAGATGCACACCATTAATGTGTTTTCTAATGCACATTTATAAAAGCAACTTAAATGTCCTAAATGAGGCCTAATCTAAGCCCTGTCTGTGAAACCAGGCCTATTATGCTTTCTCATATTTCTCAAATAATATTTTCTTTCATATATGGTTCATGTGTTTCAAATGTTTTTGAATGTAAAAGGCCTGAAAGTTTCAAAGATCAATGTGCAGATAAGTGGTGTTATTGTGTCTTAAAAGAAACAACAGATTCTGAACCGCCTGAAACAAGTCGGTAAAGTGTTCGGTAACACTTGACTTTACAATACGGGTGCACTAATAAGCATTAATTCATGCTTAACTAATGCACAGATAATACTGAATTAATGTATAACTAATGATTATCTAAGCTATTCATTAATGATTACCACATTAGGAACTAATTAAGAGTCTGTAAGGTTAATGTATTAGTTTATACATGAATTGTTATTAATAAAATATGTAATTGTGGATTAATTCCATTATAACTCATTTTTTAACTAATAGTGTTAATTAATATGTTAATTACCAGAATAAGCCAAAGCCTTTTATTTCAACTTCCAGATAATATGACAGGCACACTAATATGCATTAATACATGATTAATTACTTCATTGTTAGTGCAAATTTATGCACAAATTACTACAATTACTAAATGACTAGTTAATAATGATGTGCCCCAACAAGTAAAGTCATAGCATAATGATACCTTTGCAAATTATTAGCTAATGATTAATTAATGCAGACAACTGGAAGTTGAAGTGCATAGCTTTGACTAATTGTGGTAATTAACATTTACACTATTAGTTAATAAAATATGTTATTAAGGAATTAATACATTGAATTAATAGCAATTAATGTATTACTTAATCTATTAATCATATACAATCATTATTAGTTGCTGATGCAGTAATCATTAATTAATGGTTTAGTTCTTTATGAGTTATATATTAACTCATGATTATCTGTGCATTAGTTAAGCATGAATTAATGCATATTAGTGCACCCATATTGTAAAGTGTTACATTACTTTCCCGCTCAAACATAAGGTCTGTAACAAATTTGCATAACGCCAGCCTAAGGTCTTCATCAGCTGCCCGCAAACAACGTCTACTTTGAGCCTCAAACACTGAGGCCTGGAAACAAATCCAGGTCTGTGAAACAAATCCACTTTTCATGCACTTCCAAAAGATGAGGACTCTCGCACGAATGACGCCATCGTTACTGTTCGCATCACTGTGTATCAAGCGCTGAGGAAGAGCCAGAGCTGAAATTCAGATATGCATTTTTTGGAGACCTTTAAAATAGCATAATAGGGGCACTTTAAAAAAGAAATTGAAACCAGCACATCAGTAAGTGGAACAACGCACATGCTAAACATTTTGTGAAAGCAAATAAAAAGAGTTTACCACATGTGGCGTGCATTACGGTTCATCAAGTCTAAACTGTTTACTTGGCCTAAAAACAGATTAAATCATGCGCAATGCTGTGGTGAACCAAAACCTCTCGAAGAAGCACATTACACTTCTTTGTTGGATTTACCAACCAAATGAAAAGATCGTCACGATCAAGAGACGCAAAAACTCTGCCATTGCATGTGTGAAATGTGTATGCAGATCTACCTGAGAATCTGTGAGGTTTGGTTGCTTCAGGCAGGATGTGATTGGACACCCGGTTCTGCTGACGGACAGGTGAGCGGCTCTGACGCTTCAACCATATGGTGGCCAGAGGCGGGAGATCTGTTAGCCGAGGGTAATAGAAGGAATTTGCTGGGTGGTTTGGCTTCTGAGAGGTAATCTGCATCAGAATAAAACAACAGAGATGTGTTGATTTATTAGTAGTCAAAAATATTGCAAATACAATACGTTAGTGGCCAAAAGTGACAACCGGACATTTTCACCTTTTATTTAAAACTATTATTTCTGTATAGTAAAATAAAATCTGTAGCTGTTTGCCTTTTTTTTTTGCCAAAATGATTTAGCCAGATTAATACCTTAACCCTCTGGACATTTTCCTTTACTTGGCTCATTCTCGGTCTAAAGTGACTGAAGTCTTCAAATGTAACTTTTTTTTTTCAGAAAAATCAATGTAAAACAGTTTTTTTTTTCAATATTTTTTTTATCATTATTTAGAATTTTGAGGGGATTTTATGATACTATGCAACGTCTATAAAAAAAATGTAAAGCTATTTTTCCATTAGAATAATTTTTTTGTTCTAGAAGTCAAATTTTCACATTAAAATAGAGTAAAGGCCTTTAAAATCCTTTTTTTTTTTTACGTGAGAATAGCGCATCTGGAGTCGTTAAAAAATACATTAGTGGCCAAAAGTGACATCCGGCTTACGGAAATGGACATTTTCACCTTTTATTTAAATGTTATTAAAAATGTGCGAATGATTGTGTAGCATGTGATAGCGCAATGAAACATGCCAAAATGTGCAGACATCATTTTTGGCCAGGTTATCATAAAAATAAATTATAAACGCATGCAAACACAAGAGAGAACCAACTAAATTTTAATAACTGATTATGCTCTAGTCTAGTCAATGGATCCTTTTTCCTGTGAGCTTTTTGTTTTTCTATGTATTATTTCTGTATAGTAAAATATAATCTGTAGTCTGTGTAATCCTTTTTTTTTTTTTTTTTTTTTTTGCCAAAATGATTTAGCCAGATTAATATCTCAACCCTCTGGATCTTTCCTTTGCTTGGCTCCTTCTCAGTCAAAAGTGACCAAAGTTTTAAAAAATTATGTACAATGTTTTTGTTCAATAATATTGAGGGGATTTTATGATACAATGCAACATTTATAAATTAAAAAAAAAATGTTAAAGGGTACACATCATGCTTTTAAATCATTCCTTTTTACATATAAATCATACATTTGTGGTCTATATAAGGCGAAACTGCAATGCTTGGGTCTGAATTCCTCATTATTATAGCTCCACAAGCCCCTTTTCTACCCCTTTACTGATGTGCGTCTGTGAGCAACTCGTTTTGGAGCGGCCCCTTTAAATAAAAGGAGATGTGTCATACCCCGCCTGCTCTCCAGGTCGCTGAGTTCACACTCGGTTCAACTTCACCCCATTCCTTTTTATTCACATATTAACAAAATGTCAACAACGGAAGATTTGTCCATCAAGCCTTACATGTTCGAGTCAGAGAGAACGATTTGAAAAACGACGACGAAAAGACGACGATGAACCTGCAGAACAACGTCTTCATATGGATGTACTGCAGTGGTATGTAACTGTATTGTGTTATTAGTGAAAGTCGATTATTTCTCGTGTTAAAACAAGCACACTAACAAGATAAATGACTATGGTCTAATCTTAGCACTAAAATCTGTATTGACAATATGATACATTTAGAAAAGCATCAGAAAACACAGCAGCTAAATGACCAGCATGAAACTCAAGAACAATAATACTGCAGACGTGTAATGTTACTTCAAAACAAAAACAAAGAAAGACATATACTGCTAAACCATGACCAACATGTATTTTAATAAAGTAAAGTACTTTATTTTTATTAGCAATATTTACTGCTTATCGAAAGGCTCAGTTCGTCGTCTCCAAAGATAGAAGGAATTGACCCCTCATTCAGACGAAGTCGATCGGCAAATCCTTCTTAATACTGGCGGAGGTTGTTGAAGTGGGGATCCTTGAAGTGCTTCGGGTCACTACATCCAACAAACGAACATTTTGACTTGCCCTCTCGTAACTTCTGCATCATTGAGCTTGGACTACAAAATCGGAGCGAGAAATAAGAATGGCGGATTGCTCGAAGTGTTGGGCCGGTAGTCAAAGTCCTTATTTGTCAGTTTCGCTGCAAATACTGTTACGTAATTGTTCAAAAAACGTAATAGAGAACAGAAAAATCTGAACAGGTTGAAAAATATGACCAAAACACAATATAAAGATATAAACGAAGCACCTGAAGAGAATAATTTCACCTTTTTTGTACTTATAAACACTCCAAATATAAAAATAAATGCATTTAAGGGCTAAAAAGTGGTTGTGTTTAATATATTTTTATTTTTATAATAATTAAATCCAATTTTCACATTAAAATAGCGTGAAGGCATTTAAAATCCTTTTTTAAAGTGAAAATAGTGTCATAGAGTCGTTAAAATAAAAACTTCCCTATTTAAGTACTGTTTATAGAGAGGGTTTTGGATTACCATTGGGTTTTTTAAGACATAAATTCTTAATTTTATTAGGTTTTGCATTTAGAAATACATTATAAGATTAGACAACATTAGACATTATAAGACTACTTTTTGTCAAGGTTTAGATATTATTTGTTAGATAAGTGTCATGTTTTGCACAATGATTACAATTAAACATTAAAAGTTTATAAGAAAGGGAACACATGAAAAGCATTTTTGATCATTAAAATATCTAAAATAAAAAATGGATAGCGATAATTCTTTATTCTTCATTTGTAGTTTGTACCACCAAAAGATTCTCATATTTTTCATATTTCCCGATTTTTTTGTGTGTTCACATAACTAATGCGACAAAAGTAACCAAGCGTCATCCCATTCCAAAGCAGCAAAAAAAAAAAAGGAAAATTCCAAAGATAATATTTTTCAAAGAGGCCCAGAAGGTTAACTAAACTGTTGTTTTTTTCACACATTTTTTTAAATATTTAAATGCTATATCAAATTTGTATTTTAACCTTTTACATTGTATTAAAATAAAAAAAATTAATAATATCTCACCATGGTGATATTTTCAGGAGGTGTTGTAGGAAAGTTCGGTGAAGAGAAAGTGAAGCCGCTGTCTGTGCCGGCATCAAATGGGTGGAGGTCAAAGGTCACTTCCTGTTTCCACTGCCCACCCTCACACAAGTTCAGGCTGTCAATCCCCACAAACCAGTCTGGACTGGGGATCACTTTCACTATCAGAGACAGCTGTGAGAGAAAACGTAAGATCAGTCACTCTCCTGCTGAAAACCCACACACATTATCAACCCTGATTTACCTTTGGCAACGTTATTTTTCTCAAGCATGCTCTGCTAACATAATTGGCATCATAAGTCACATCTGAAACTTTTCTTTGTAGCCATTTCCAGTTTTTTCCACTCCTTCCTGTGTATGTTAGGTTAAACCATCTGGGTTTTCTTTGTAAATGTGATGAATGTTTCCTTTTTACTGTGACCTCATTCAGGAGGATCCCTTCGGTCGGAGCAGAATGAGGGAATAGCCACACGACACACAGAGAGAAACCAGCCATACTGTGACAATGGCTATTTCAGGATGAGCGCAAGCCTAATAAAGAGCCAAGGATGATTCATCAGACATACAATAAAACCTGACAGATCCTGTCTGCTTGAGTTCATTTAAGGTATATATCAGTCCAACCTCTCTATAAAAGAGAAATCATAAGGTAGATCCATATTTTATGACCAAAATGTGAGTGGAAGATTCGCCAGCAGGGCTGCAGGAACATTGCTGTGCAGTAATGCTACAATGATTTTAGTGGGTTGCTATGTGTTCTGGGTAGTTGCTTACTAGTGCTATAGTCAAAAGGGAAAGATCTTTTTAATACACTCTTAAAAATAAAGTTTATTGGCATCAATGGTCAAATTCGGGGGTATCAAAAATCTAACAAAAAGGTTTGTTAGATTATTCACACTAGGTAAAATAAGGTTCTTTGGAAAACCTAAAATGGGATTTCTATGGTATTGCTGAGAAAAATCCCTTTGGTACTTTAAGAGTGTGCCTAAGTTTTTTTGTGTTTTTTTTTTTTTTTTTTTTTTTTCAGTTGTTCAGCTAAGAAACAGCCATATTTATTTTAACTTGTCCCATTAAAGCTGCTTTTTTTTACAGAAGGAATCGTTCTTGAAACTAATGAAATCATATAATTAATCAAGGTAAATTATTTTATACTAAAGGGGCCTTGGAGTCAAAAAGGTTGAGAATCACTGGAGTCTCTTGCACTTGGGAAGAGCAACCTTTTCCCCTGGGACAAGCAACACAATCGAATTGGATTTCACTTTTATAGTAGCCTACGCATTTTAGTGTGAATTACTCATCATTCCCAAAACAAACATTAAAACCAGGACTGATATAGTCGGCACTTTGCATCCATATTTGGGCCGCTACCTTGTGGCAACATCCAGTCTACAGCTGACTTTTCTCCAGGCTGGATTTACTCTGGTGGTCTCTCCCTCACATCTCTTCTCATTCTGTGGCTTTTCCAGAAATACCTCCTGCTATATCAATTTCTCTGGCGTGAGAAGCGAGCGGTGCCTCATCCCTCTTCTGTCTGTTCTGACCCCAAGCTAATAGAGCTCAAACTCCCTTCAGGGCACAAAGTCACACTAACACATAATTGCCAAACCCCTGATTTGCCAGAACAGAACGTTAGGAAAAATAATACACAACTATTCTGTAATACATATCTGTCCCTCTGTCTGTCTGCTGGAACGCGCTGTGGTTTCTTTCATTGAAATACACACTGTAGAAATACACACTGTCTGGATTCTATTAAATGCAAAAAGAACCTTTAGTAATTTTGGAGAGCATTTGGTCGTTTTTGATTACTTTATTTTCCTGTTGATTTGAGGTTGTTGGTCATGCATGTGCGGGAAGCTGAAATCGGACACCGCCGTCTTTTTTGGAGATCGTAAATAATTAAACACTGTTCAATGTCGGCTGCAGCGCAAATGTGTATTTGTAGTTTCTCAGAATATGCTTCAGGAAGATTAAAACAGCATACAGAGGCAAGAAGGCATCAAGTATATGTCTGAATCGGATTTTGATTTTCATAAGAGAAGAGTTACAGCTGTTACTGTTTTGTTAAAGTAAATACATTCACATCCACATCTCATCTTAAAGGAGTAGCCTAGTTGACTTTTAAAAAAAACTTTTGCTGATAATTTGCTCACCCCCATGTCATCCAAGATATCCATGTCTTTCTTTCATCAGTCGATAAGAAATCAAGGTTTTTGATGAAAACATTCCAGGATTTTCTATAATGGACTTCAATGGGAACCAAACGGTTCAAGATCCAAATGAGCGTTTCAGTGCAGCTTTAAAGGGCTTTAAACGTCACCAGACGATGAATAAGGGTCTTATCTGGACACTTCGAGTCATGACTCGAAAAAAGATTTGAACAAGTTTGTACAGGAGCGTCACGAACGCTCAGAACAGAGCAAGTCGAGCATTTGAGCTTGTAAAACTTAAACTTTGTTATTTATTTTTTAAATGAGCAATCGTTTCATTTGATAAGACCCTTATTCGTCATCTGGAATCGTTTAAAGCCCTTTGAACAGTTTGCACTGAAACTGTCTTTTGGACCTTGAACCGTTTGGTTCCCATTGAAGTCCATTATATGGAGAAAATGCTGGAATGTTTTCATCAAAAACCTTAATTTCTTTTTGATTGAAGAAAGAATGACATGAACATCTTGGATGACATGGGGGTGAGTAAATTACAGCAAAAGTTTTTTTTAAAAGTGAACTAATCCTTTAAAAGTATGTTTATTCGATGACTTATACCATGTAGCTAGGGTTTAAATAAAATTTTAATTTTCAATTTTAAACTGCATGTCAAAAAAAGCATTCACTTTCGACATTTCTTGGGTTCCTTTAATACGTTTTCTGGGATTATAAAGTCTGATCACTAAGAACAATAATAAGTCAGACCTACAATCCGTGTGACAAATCACTCGCTGAAGTCTATTAATATGTATAACTGTAAGATGTAAGCAATCAGTTCATCAATAATAAGTGAACAGACACTCACAGCTCTCTCAACACACGTTACAGTCTCACCCCAAGGCCACATTCATACTCTCCGTCGTACTTTACTGCCCTGTGGATCTAAAAACAGCAGCGCCACAGCAGACATCCCGCCATGCTGTGGTTAAATGCCAGCAGGACTGAATGCCAAGCGCATCTGAGGGTAGTTGCCGTTTTTAATAAGTCTACCTTGTATTCCAGACTTTGGCAATAAAGATATGTAGGTCACCAGCAGCACCAGCGCTGCCTTTAGACCCTATAACCATCTGACTCATGGCTAAGGAAAATAAATATTCCAGAAAGTGAGAAGGAAAGGATCCAGCCTCTCTCTATCTGCAGATCTGGTGGGTTCAGGAAACACAGCACAGGAGCCGGAAGGGAGGGAGGGAGTGAGTGAGGCTTGTGGTCTGGAGGTCCCGGGACTCTGGATGTGGTTTTGGAGACTTGCGCTCCCGTGAAGTCTGTCTATGTGCAATATAGAACTAAATTGTGTCATTAAAGTCTGATCTACAAACTGAATGACGTATGCAGGACTTCTCCAATCATTTAGTCCTCTTAAACCCACTCCTGCAAGCTCATGTTCATCCGCCTCCACGAATGATGCACCAAGTATATGCGGCCTACGTTTATTATTTTTCGATAATCCATTATGGACGTGTCACAATACGGAGATGCAACCACAAATCGGTCTGGTGTTAATCTGAAGATCACCTAAAAAGCAAGTAAACTCACACACCAAGATATCACTGATTTGTCAGGTCAACTGGAACATGAAAACAGTGAGGACTTTGCCTCCTCATTTTAGAGCACAACTGCACGCCACTGCGTAGTGCAACGAAAACGTCTGAAACTAAATGGTCAAAACTGTTGGAATGAGAACAACTGCCAAGGGCGGATCTAAGAAAAGGCATTGCCAGCACATCTGCCACCCCAGATTTATCCCTTTAAAAATATAAATCTAAGTAGAGTTTCATGCACCTCTTTTCAGTAGCGGCACTTCAATGTGATGGCATATAAAGAAAAGATTATGTGGAAAATGCCTTTGTTGTCTTTGCGGGTGTGTCGGCGACTTCATTAACAGACGGCACTTATGGTCCAGTTCTTTTTGAGTCAAAAGCACACAGCACAATCAGTGTAGTCCATTTCACAGGTTTTTCCCAGTTTCTGAATCGAAAAATTCAAGAAATATGAGAAATATATGGAATGTCCCCTCACATTCACAATGCCTATCATCGTTTAAGTTGACCAGTGTTGTGTACCGTTTCCGGGTGGTTCGAGACTTAAAAAACATTTTTGTGTCTTAAAATTTAAAATTATTTGAAGGTGTAGATGATGGATGGATGGATGGATGAATGGCATTCTCATTGCTTTGATAAGTTTTTACTTCATGTTTGTAGTTTAGCTTAATGCACTAAAATTTGTGATTATTATTGAAGAAGCCTACAGTAATAAAACAAACCTTCTCTGTGTAGTGTTGACAGATTTTATCATTTATTTCTAATTATTCTTAGACAGTATAGATGATTACTTTTTGGTAATGTAATAGCTTTGAATATTCAGGGCCCAATTGTTTATGCCAAGCCATAAATCCACAAGAATGAAGCATAGATGCTTGCTTTGGTGTTGACACATACCAACCCCTTGGTACACTACAAAAATGTTCTATATCAACACATTCTCATCCCAAGGTGTCATCTAACTGACACTTTTGACTATGCTTCAAAATCCAACGCTTTAGGCACCCATTAGCGTCAGATGTTGACGCATGGTCAAAAGCATCAGTTAGATGACACCTTGGGATGAGAACGGGCTGTCTATATCCACCCCGGAATGTCCCTTTCTACAAGTCATCCTGGTGATCATTATTTCCAAAGATCTGTTTTCATTTCAACTTTTCTACTGGGAAAATCAAAATAGATACAGTTTTATTCTATCACCTAAGCTCTTTCGGTAATTCCTGAACTGACATACCCAAATTGTTTTTAGGTGCAGAAAACATTTAGCGACACAACGATGATCCATATTGTGTGGTGACTACGGCCATCTCACCAGCGGACTCCTGGGCGTCAGAAGTATCTCAGTGGAGCTGTGGCCGATGCCTGAGGGAATCCCGGCTGTGCGGTACATGGACCCCACGGCTCGCCCCTTCCTCGCCTCCTTCGCATCCTTCACCAGATCCACTGTGAGCCCCTGCTCAGCAAAGCTCTTCAAGCCATCGCTCGCCGGCGCCCCCTCCTGCCACAGCCGGTACTGCTCATTATGGGTCACGGCTGCACAGATTCACAGGTAAAAGAATAAATGGTCAATTATTTTAATTGCTCATGTGATTCCTCTGGAAGGTTCTGTCGTGGCCTGTTGAACATTTCTCCCACTCCATGAATTTTCATTGCTTATCAGAATTCAAAAAACACAGTTCTGCCACTTTCTATGTTTGCTTAACACACCTCGAGCTGCAATGCCAAGAGAATAAACACCTAAAAACAAACCCTTCATTGAGAAAAGCCAGACTTATTAGGAGTCTAGTGTGCACCTAAAGTGCAGTGACCGAGACTGTTGTGTAATGTATTAAAGTAGATTTTCATGCCCTGGAGATAATATCAGTGTTTGCAATGCGGAAAAAGGTTTTGAGTAAAATATTGTTTTCGGTATTGGATTTGAGTAAATTAATCACTTTGACATTGTCATGACATTCAGTGTGTAGTTCATTGCACTCAAAAATCCCTATGCACTATACAGTTAAATGTGTGCAAGGAAGAAAGACCAATCACAGTTCAGTATGCAAACACAGAAAGACCAATCACAAACTGGTATGCAAATATTAGGACACGGTCTTCAGTTCACTCACAGCCACATGGCATTTTAACGTCAAAGGGAGCGTTACAAACTTTATGTTTACAAAAAACAAATATTGCACACTTGAGTAGAAAGACGATTAAAGCACCGAACTCTGCAGAAGGAGGGAGTTCTTGGGCAGACTCCAGTGTTGCGTGTGAAAGGCTTTATTTTTTTTCAAACGTCAAAAGATCGCATAGTTCACGTTTACAAGCCAGCATCTTTATAGTAGCGTTAGCCTATAGACCCCTTTTCAGTTGGTAAACATGGTGACGTTTTTTTGTGGGCGGAGCTTAGGTGGAGGCAAAACGATCCCTCTGGCCGCTTCACTAACGCTAGTTAGCAAGTATTGTTAGCTTCTTTTTTAATAATGACTGGAGAAAATCAGATTTTATCTTAATGTGTAAGGTCCCTCAGTGTCCAGGATCACGATTGTTATTTCCAAAAGTTATTTTTAACGGACGGAACCAGATTGGCCGACCCGTAGTGGATGATCTGACAGGATTAACATACGTTACCTCAGTTGAGTGGCCTGACTTCTACACCTACCTTATAGAGAAACTGATCGTAAAGAGAAACTGAGGGCATATAAATCTTTAGATGCCTATATGGTCCTGTACAAGACTTGTGTGTAGGATCTGCAGTTCTGCCGAGTCAGCGCCGAGACCACGACAATGTAAAGAGTGACATTACGGTGCGATTTTAATGATGTGAATATTTTCTAGAAATAAAAATTCCAGATACAACATATTCATTTTTCATCAATTCTTGCACCAAACAACACAACAAGATGACATTCAATAATAGTAACAATAATTTAAGCTCCTTATAATCTAGCCGAATCTGTGCTGGTTTGTATTGGCCGCCTCCAGTTTTCACTTTATTTTGCCTCCAGCTAGCGCCGTGACGTAACGGTGACGTCGGCGCAAAAGGGGTCTATTGGCTACTGTTTTACATAATGGATATGCTAATTCAATTCAATGTTTGTTGGTAGATAATGGCCATATCGTCAATATTATAATATCAAGCTATCATAGATGAATCTGCAAATTTAAAAAATCGATTTGCATTATAGCCTGAGGCAAGACACTTTTATCAGAAAAATAAATAACAAACATGACTATCAGCCTGCAGACATAGGATAGTTATCCTGAACGATTATTTTGTCCGTCGAATCATGTATTATTTACTTGCAAGAATGAAGCCCTTACCAAACTCTGTAATCAGTATATACTTTCACGTCTCGAGCTGGCGCGAGCTGCCCGCCCCGGCTCTACGGGGATGCTTGAGTGTGTTAAGCGCCCTCAATAGAAAGCAATGAAGTCTACAGTTGATGCAGCGAGGGGCGAAGCTACACAACACCAACAGTAAACTGATCACCAGCGCGCTCTGTTTCTGACGCTTCACATTTGGTTTTACTTGCTGCTTCAGCCATGACAACATAAAAAACGCTTGTTGGGCTCTCGCATCAGAATTTGAGGAAGTGGGGGAAGTGACGTACGCCGTAAAGCAGTTGGATTTTGTAGTTCTTTTTTGCTCGGGTTCCTACCCGCACCCCGAAGTTACAGAGTGCCAGTAAAAGCGATACAGACCACATCAGGCTATGGCAGACCTGTCATTCAACCTATTGTAAGTCGATGTACCATCTCAATGGTTTTGGAAAAATATGATAAAGGTTGAAAAAACGACATAGTGCTGCTTTAAAAGTGTGAAGCAGCACATTTTCAGGTTCCTTTTACTTCGCATGCAGATTTCTGTGATTCATAGCAGAACTTGTCCACTCATGCACCTCCAGATTTTGCAACATTCTTTTCCGAAAATTTGGTCCTAACCCTAAACCTTACCGTACAGATAACTTAAGATAAGGAAATGAGATTTAAATAATGAATAACACTGATGTAAAAGCACCTAACTCTTGATTCTAAACTCAGATCTGATTGGTTGATTGGAATGTTGTTCCAGGAACATGTTGCCCTTGGTGTAATACATATGCAAGCACGTTATATGAACTTATTTTTTTAGAGCTTAACAGACGTGGTCTTCAACAAATATTTGACAAATTGCTTTTTTTCCCTTTTTATAAGGCACTTTGGATAAAAGCATAATGTGTAAACTGCCTCAGCCTCACAGAAAAAAAACATTTCTTTTGTGTTTTACAAAAAATGCGTTTGGTATGACAATCATGAGTAAATACAGACCATCATTTTTGGGTGAACTATTCCTCAAAACACAAAACGTGCCTAGTTTGATAATTCACCTATTAGCTTCTTGATCTCACAATAGAGCTTTTGAAAGAGGAAGGAGCTAAGATGACGCTTCTGAAACGATTTCAGACGCTCTTTAACGTCCCAGTATGTTCTTCATAGCTACAAACCATTTTGGTCTGGCAGACCCTGAGCTGGGAGCGAGAGAGCAGGAGAATGAAAGAAAAAGACACAAGTGAGAATGACAGTAAGGCAGGGAGCACGTTTGGCACGCTGACACGTCTAGTCTCTCCATGCTACACGTCTGGCTCACATGTGGACAGAAAAACTGAGGAGACCTGACCTCAATCAGCGAAAGCACAAACCACAACCATCTCCCACGCTCCGTCTTCCCTCAAATTGTCTCATCCTTCATCCAAGGAGTTCATATGTACGGCACAAACTTTTGATTAGATACAAAAATGTGCGGTTTCTGAACATAATTGCAATACAACAGTGATAAATGGATAAAGAGAGAGCCATGAAGGCATCCAGAAGGCAGCAGAAACATCATCTCAGCGCTCCAAAGCCACAGCCTGATCTTTCAGGATCTCGGGGTTTCGAATGTTTTGGCTGAGGCGCCCACGTCTGCTGCTGGTCTCGGCTGGCATACCAGTGACACCCAGAAAACGCCATCGCAGTGGCCAAGTCAATGGGCATTGCAGGCCGCATGCGTTGGGTATTTATGGAAGGAGCTTAAAAGAAAAAGGCGAACCTGCAGGGCAGCCCTGTGTCATCTGGCAATGGATTTTACTCCTCAACCTCCCTCTCGTTCTGCTTTCCTCATTAGACTGCCCCGCTCACGTGGTGTGGCAGGTATAGTGCGCGTATGTTTGGGGGGTTGACGAGGCAAATTGCAGGGTTTACAGGCCAGCTGTGAGTCCTGACACATGGTGAGGCGAGGACGTTTGAACAACAGAGCCATCGCTGGCGGTCGACCTCAGAGAACGAGATGTTCCACATATAGCAACCTACGTCTGAATCGTCCACCAAACACATCATCACTCACTCTCACTTTCCGCCACCTCGCAGGAGTCTTACCCATGAGCTTGGACCACTGAGCAGGTGGTCGGAACAGGGGATACTGTTTGGGGAAGGTCTGTGGACTCCAGTGGCCGGTGAACACCAGGATGTAAGGGGCGGGTCCTCGAGCGCTGCACTCCGTCCCGTTGTTCAGGTTCATTGGGGCCGCGCAGGACAGCGTAAACCTGAGCAGAACGACGAGCAGATGCTGCAGCCAACCAGGAACAAAGACCTCTGATGACATCATCTCTGTCAGGAAAAAAAGAGCAGGAAAAGTCATTAGCCAAGTACTGTGCACTTCCTTTTTCTCCGTTTTATGGTCAACAAAAAGGCCATGTAGAAATCGAATAATAGTTTTTCATGCTACAATAATTCTGATCCACTCATGCAGCAAATATATATATATATAGCATTGGGAAATGACATAACTTGGTTTCTTCCTGACACCCGAAGCATCTGAGATTTGCAGCTTGCTCTGGATTCAAAGACACCAACCGTCTTATATTACAAAGTTACGCTGCTTTAGAGAAAGCCGTATGAGAGACTGTCTTCTGAAATTTCTGAAAACTAAAAATCGGTCATCATTTACTCTAAACCTTCTGAGGAACTGAATTTGCAAACAAAGAAAGTGAATTGAGACTGGGACCACCATAAAAGAGCCCATATTGGCTGTATTCCAAATTTATACGTCCAAAATTAAAGTTGCATTAGCTCTGAAATTCCATTAGCATTCAAACGTGTTCAAATATGGAAAAGACGCTTTACCTTTAACGTCAGTTAGGTGACGGAAGGTGTAGGTTTAGGATCCGATAACGTCATCTAACCGACGTTTAAGGGTACCCTAAAAAGGGGGATGTTGACGTATGGTCAAAAGACGTCCCAAGACGTCAGGACGGTGGGGGGTTTTGAATTCAGACGATGAATCAGGGTCTTATCTAGGACTCTTCGAGTCATGACTCGAAAAAAGATT